GTCAGGCTCGGATAGTACAGATGTCAGAGAGAAACAGATCAGCTCCAGGCTAGACTTTATGTGGAAACGGGGGGGGGGGGGGGGGAACCGCTGAGGAATTTTAAGCTGACAAGTGGTAAGGGTATGACCAGATTTATATTTTAGAAAGCTCCCACAGCAGCTGTACATCAGATGGGTTGGAAGGAGGCACGGCTGGTTCCAGGGTGACCAATTAAGAATCTGTTACAGTAATCCAGTCTAAAGATGGTGAGGCTACAAATAACACAGTGACAGAGAGGGCAGGGAGGAAAGGATAATTTGAGAGTACTTCAGGAGGCAGGAACACAGTACTTTAGAGACCAGCCTGGAAAGAGAAGAAATCAAGGAGAGTCTCCTGAGTCACTTAGTGGGGTGGCCGGGTGGAAGGTGACGGTGCCACTGACTGCAACATGGAGTACGGTTGGTAGGGCTAGAGAGGAGATAGACTATATGAACAGTTTCTTATACAGGGGTAAAGTGGATGTGTGATGAAATGCACAGAAGGAAGGCATACCATCAAGCGTTTTTTTTTTTTTTAAAAATGTGTGTACCTGTGTAACTGACATGCCAGTCAAGATGTGAAACATTTCCTTTATTCACCAAAGTTTCCTTGTTACCCTCCATCCCTTCCCCACTGGCAAGCACTGTTAGGATTTTTTAAAATAATATAATAGTTTATTTCTACATCAGTTTGTGCCTTTTCCCATCTCAGTTGTGATCCCCGTGGGCTTCCCATCACCAGATCACCTGTGTGCCATCACCATAGTCCAGAAGTACTGTTAGGATTTTAATCACCAAAGCTGACTTTGCCTGTTTTCTACTTCACCTACATAGATCCCTGTGATTGTGACTGGTTTCTTTGACCAGTGTGTTGCTTTTGTGGTTTATCCATGTTATTATTTGCATCAATAATTTCATCACCCCCTTTTTTTTGTTGTTGTGTAGCGTTCCAGTGTATGAATACACCACCATTTGTTATCCATTCCTCTCTTGGTGGACATTTGAGTTATCTCCAGTTTTTTATTTGTTTTGGTATTTGAAGCTTTTGTAAATATTCTTGAAAAGTCTTTTTGTAAATGCTTATCTTGGGTAAACGTCTGAGAGTGGAATTCCTCAGATGCAGGAGAGATGTATGTATAACTGCAAAAGACACTCCTAACAGTTTTCTAAAGCAACTCTGGCAGTTTATACTCCTGCCAGCCGTGTAGGAGAGTTCTGGCTGACCCACATCTTTGATACTTTGATATTTTTAGCATTTTTAAGCTTTGTGTAAAGCACAAATATCCATCTCATCATGGGTCTGATACCAATTGAATAATAATAAATAACAATGTTGAGCATTTTTCCATAAACTTATTGACCATTGATTTTTTTTATTACTTTCTTTTTAGTTTTCTTTTTTATTTACCTCTTCTTTACATAAAACTATTATTTTGGGTGTGCATCTTCGCACCTCCACATGTCAACGTGCTCTAGGACATTCTTTTCACTCATGAAGATTCTGTTCAAATATTTTGCCTATTTTTTATTGGGTTTTATAAACTGTTGAGTTGTAGGGTTTCATAATAGATGTTAGATATAAGTCTCTGTCGTATATGTGTTAGCAAATATTTTCTTCCATATTATCACTTCATTTTCTTGATTTTTTTGATGAACACTAAAGTTTAACTTTGACAGGTCAATATATACACTTTTTTCTTTGGTGATTAGTGCTTTTCATTTCAATAATCTTTGCATACCTTAAAGATATGAATATATTTTCCTAGAAGTTTTATAATAGGCATTATTTTTATGTTTAGGCCTGCAATCTTAAGTTAGTTTTGCATGATATCAAAAGTTCATTTTTTCCATACAGATAGCAAGTTTTCGAGCTCTGTGTGATGAAAAGACTTTCCTTTACCCTGTGATTTTTTTTAAAGATTTATTTATTAATGCATACAGAAATGGGGTACAGGCCAGAGGTGCAGGGGCAGTGAGAGGATTCACCGGAGACAGAGGGAGAAGCAGAACAGGCAGATTGACTGAAATACACTGCTGAGGGGAGCAGCGGGCAGGTCCGGAGAGGTCTGCTGCGCCATGTGGGTCACCCCCCTGGCCGGGAATCAAACTGGTACTGTAGTGGCTGTGGGTAGCTTCATATTGCTGTGCTTTAGCCCATTGTGCTACCAGGGAGGGCCCTACCCTTTGAATTTCATTGATGTTTTATAAAAAAAATAATTGACCCATGTATGTAGGAATCTGTTTTTGGACCCTGTTTTTCTTGTGCCAGTAAACCACATTGTCTGTGGTTGATATGTTGAGGGTGTCTCCAATTTATGTTAATCATTTTTTAAAAAAAAAAAGTGTTAAGGTTTATTCTAGCAGTTGGTTACTGGCAGATATAGGCACGGGTGGTTTAGTGGAGGATGAATGGAACGTGTGCATAAGGAAGAGCAAAACTAACCTCCAAAATTAAAATTAAAAATTGTTTTAAACTGCTGGCAGACCCTTTGCTTCTGTCAAGTTTGCTTTCCTCCTTCCAATTTGAATTTATTCCTGTGGTATATGGTTCTGGAGTCTCAGGGTGCACACCTCGTGTTCTGGGCGGGAATTCCCTTGTCTCCCAGCTGTGCATGACTCATTGCCAGCGTGACGCCTTAGCAGGTATCCTCTTCTTGCTCCCTGCGTGTCTAGCTTTCAACCAAGAAAGTGGCCACCCACCCCACTCCCACTCTGTGCCTCTCACTCCATCCCAGTGCCTGCCTCAGCTTTTAGCCACATCAGCAGCACACAGCACAAATGTATCTGCACAGTAAGACTAGCACTGAGTTTGGGCTCCATCTCCCTACACTGCAGTGAGGAGGTTCCCGGGATGAAAGTTGGGGTGATCATGACTCCCCTTCCTGCTTTCCTTCCCTCAAAGATCACAGTCGTGCACAGCTTGCTCTTTAGTGCCCAAAAGCATATATTCATATATTCATTTGTCTCATCTACTTTGTCCCGCTGTAATGCAGTTGGCGGTAGAATAACTCCAGTTGTAGTTATTTTATTTTGGATTGAAATGGAAGTTGAAGTTCCATTCTGGATAGGATCTGAGTTTTTAGTAGCTGTGGAACAGCCAGGTAGAAATGCCAACAGGCAATTGGATGTTTGTGGATGGTACTTGAAAGCGACGCAGGAGTTAGAGGTTCAGATTCTGTAGTCCTGAATTTGTGGTAATTGAAGCCGAGGGAATTTCAGTGTTCATTTAGCTACAGAATAACTAGATTTAGAATTGTGAGAAAAGGAATAGAAGAATGTTTTTCTCTCAGAAACCCTGGTGTGGCTAGAGAAGTAGGTGAGAAACAGATGTCACAGAAACCACCATGAATAAAGTGGCATTCAGCCAGGGGGTGCAGCTGGCAGCAGTGCTGCTGAGGACTTGGTAAAAAGTCCCACTGTGCCATCGATCTAGACAAGCTGGGGTACCATCGAGTTCAGAAAGCTCAGACTTTCCTTACATGAAAGCACATGTTTGTGTTTTTAACCTTTCTTGGCACGTAGGTAGCTGACAAGTATGATCTTTAGTTTTATAAAAATGGGAGGAAAACACAGACCCCAGACAGGTTTCTAGCCTGATAAAAGTCAGCTGAGAAGCCTGCCCTGTTTATTGCCGCAGTTGTCTAGACCTTCAGGCTCTGGCATTGCTCTGGCTCATCTAAGTCAAGCCCCTTGCTGTTTCATGTGGGGACTGACTCTCATAAATGAGAGGGCTTTAACTGAGTATGAGTAACAGAAATCCAGAGAAGCCAGTGTAAGCAAAAGGAGGTTTGTGTTCTAAGAGTTCAGAGGTAGCTGATGGCAAGGGCCAGGCTGAGCTCAGAGTTGACTAGAACCTGTGTGCCATCGAAAGCTGGGGTGCCCCGGTCCATCCTTTGTCTCAGCATGGTTCTCTGTCTCGGATTCATTCTTCTCTGACATAGACTAGCATCCTCTGTACCACCGCCGTCACCCTGCTGACAATAGTCACCGGCAACTGTAACTGGTTTGGTTACAATTCAGGAAATCAGCCCGTCATTCCTCTCCATTCATATAAGAAGCCAGATTCTGCCTTTGCAAATTATATTCCCCTGGGGATTCAGTGGCTCAGTTGGCATCACCCCATATCTAAGAATTGCAATCAGGGGCTGGGCTAATGTTGTTTTGCTCACAATACTGTGGGGTGTAATCAGATGGTATGAATTGTTGGTGGGAGGACAAATAATTTTCAGAGAAAACAAGGGTGCAAGTGGCCGGGCACCCAGTAGATGTTTGGGACACTTAGGGTTATGTTGGTAACTCATGGCAGAGCCAGGACCCCCACCCGAGGCACGCTTTCCTGAAGCTGCACCACATGGGAGACTCGTAATTACTTAATCTGGAATTCTGGAATGTGGAGAGATGGGCAGACAGACACTCATCCCCTCTGTGCTTGTTCCTATTGGTGTAAAGATACAGAGGTCCTTTCCCTGGGGTGTACACATTCAGAGCTCTAGAAATGAAACAGCCAAAAGTGGGTTCCCTCTGCGTTAGTCCATGTTCTTTGGGTTACAAGTCACAGAAACCCAAATCAAACCAGCTTAAACAAAAGAATTAGAGGTGCATGGAAATACTTCACAGACTTGAAGACCTGTGGATTCTAGAGACTCTTAAGAAGTTGGAATTAGTACCACCAGGACACATATATAAGTCCTCACTTTATTTCTTTTTCAGTTTTCATCTTGCATCTCTATTCTACCTGATTGGTTTCTGGCACCAAGATTTTCTCCATCACAAGGGGGACCTACCTGCCTGAAGTTCCTTACAGTATCTGACCAAAGAGAAGAGAGGCTTCCCTTCTGGTTCCAGGAGGGAAGTCGCAGTGAAGGACAATGATAGAGGGGATCAGGCCTGTGATTAACTGCACTTTGCCCACTTGGAATATTTCAACAATGGGATATAAAGCAGGATAGACAAAAACCTCTTGTTCTGCAACTGTCTTCCAGGTGACTATGGAGGCTGGAGGGCTCCCCCTGGAGCTGTGGCGCATGATCTTGGCCTACCTGCACCTTCCCGACTTGGGCCGCTGCAGCCTGGTGTGCAGGGCCTGGTACGAGCTGATCCTCAGTCTCGACAGCACCCGCTGGCGGCAGCTGTGTCTGGGCTGCACCGAGTGCCGCCACCCCAACTGGCCCAACCAGCCTGATGTGGAGCCTGAGTCTTGGAGGGAAGCCTTCAAGCAGCACTACCTTGCCTCCAAGACGTGGACCAAGAATGCTCTGGACTTGGAGTCCTCTGTCTGCTTTTCTCTGTTTCGCCGGAGGAGGGAACGGCGCACCCTGAACGTGGGACCAGGCCATGAGTTTGACAGCTTGGGCAGTGCCTTGGCCATGGCCAGCCTGTATGACCGAATTGTGCTATTCCCAGGTGTATATGAAGAGCAAGGTGAAATCATCCTGAAGGTGCCTGTGGAGATTGTAGGCCACGGGAAGTTGGGTGAAGTGGCCCTGTTAGCCAGCATTGACCAGCACTGCTCAACCGCGCGCCTGTGCAACCTCATCTTCATGCCAGCCTGGTTCTCACCCTTCATGTTTAAGGTGTGTGTCTGCATCACATATTTGGACTTTCCAGTCCTCATCCTGGACTTTGGCCCCTTCTCAGTGGTTTGATTATTCCTTTTTTATTGGAAATGAAAATCTAATGTCCCAGTGCACACTCTTCTTAAGTTCTGTACCAATTGAGAAATGGGCACAGGGATCCATAGAGACCTTCCTGGCAAAGGTGTATTAGACAGTGAGCCTTAGACTTGAGGCCAGAATTGCTGTGTCCTTTGCACTTCCAAACTGGACTGACTGAAGTCACAGGTTGAGCAATGAGGCGGGAAAGCCCACCACAGGTGACAGCAAGCTAGACCATCTCAGCAGCTCATGGTGGCAAGGCCCGAGAGAGCCAGTGAGGGGCAGCTTTGCAGACCCGTAACCCCAGCACTTGAACCCCACCCTCTGGTTGTCAGGGAGGGTCGGGAGCCTGTTGGGATTAGTTATTTCTCAAGTGTCACTGGGCAGAGGTTCAGGGGATATTACTTAAGGCCAGGGAAGCACACATGTGTGCAGAGCCAAGAGAGGGTATAGGGAAGGTGAGTGCTGGGAAAGGGGGCGAGTCAGGGAGATGCCACTTGAGCGGCACATTCTTTATGTACCAAGACCTGGAGCTGGGGCTCCAGAGGTCTTGCTCAAATTGGGCTGATGTGCCAGCCCTTGTTTGCAGAACTCGCAGTAATCCCAGTCATCGGACTCTCCCAGAGGGCCCCTCTCCTGGTTCATTTCCTGTGTGAGCATGTGTCGGTTCCACTTGAATCAGTGAGCTTCGAGCACTCAGCTTCTTTCCTCATCCCCATGGTCATCCCCAGCCTGCTTTATTCTCACTAAGTATTTCATAAGATTTGAAGTTTCTAGGAAGGGTCCTGCTATACGGTATGAACTTTTCTGCCATTGTATGTCCACTCTTGTCTTTATTCCTTGGAGTTGGAAGGAGGGAAGGGCAGGCAGTTCTAGCTACCTCCTTCCCGCTCCTCCCAGGGCAACCTGACACCTGCCTGGTGGGAAGGGAACATGGTCACAGGACAGAGATCCGCCTCCCCTCCCCACATACACACACTCTACTCGCCATCAAGAGTTGTTAGAGTTTTGACCAGCGAAGTATTTCTCACCCCGTTATATCTGTTTTCTCATTTTTACTCCCCAGACAACATCAGGACATGTCCAGTTTGACAACTGCAACTTTGAGAATGGCCACATTCAGGTCCACGGCCCAGGCACCTGCCAAGTGAAATTCTGCACCTTCAAAAACACCCATGTCTTCCTGCACAATGTGCCCCTGTGTGTCCTGGAAAATTGTGAATTTGTGGGCAGTGAAAACAACTCTGTGACTGTTGAGGGCCACCCATCTGCTGACAAGAACTGGGCTTACAAATATCTACTGGGACTGATCAGGTCCTCGCCCAGTTTGCTCCCCACAGAGGACTCTGACTCTTTAATGTCCCTAGACTTAGAGAGCAGAGACCAGGCCTGGAGCCCAAGGACCTGTGACATTGTCATTGAGGGCAGCCAGAGCCCTACAAGCCCAGCCTCTAGCTCCCCAAAGCCAGGTTCTAGGGCTGGCTCACAGGAGGCAGAGGTGGGCAGTGATGGGGAAAGGGTAGCCCAGACTCCAGACAGCAGCGACGGAGGCCTGAGTCCCAGCGGGGAGGAGGAAGATGAGGACCAGCTCACATACAGACTGTCCTACCAAGTACAGGGTCCACGCCCTGTCCTGGGGGGCTCCTTTCTGGGTCCACCCCTGCCAGGAGCGTCGATTCAGCTGCCCAGCTGTCTAGTGCTGAACTCACTGCAGCAGGAGCTACAGAAGGACAAGGAGGCCATGGCACTGGCCAGCTCTGTGCAGGGCTGCCTCATCCGCAAGTGCCTCTTCCGGGATGGGAAGGGAGGCGTCTTCGTCTGTTCCTATGGTCGAGCCAAGATGGAAGGAAACATCTTCCGGAACCTGACTTATGCCGTGCGGTGTATACACAATAGCAAGGTGCTGGCAAAGACGTACTCTACAGATCCTGAGCTGCCCTGGGTCACCAGAAACCTAGAGTTTGATTGGCAGGAGAGCTCCTGTGGCTATATGTATGAGGCCTTGCAGGGGCCAGTTTGCATTTTCCTAAAGAATCATCTTTTCCTTAAGCTTATAACACCGCTTCATGTTCATCATCTGATTTAAACAGGGGAGAAGCTGTTCTTCCCACTTTGTAGGAGAAAATAGGCCCAGAGAGGGACGGTCACTTACTCAGAGTCGCACGCCATTTAGAGGGCAAACTCAGGACTGGAACCCAGATCTTGCACCTCCTTTCACTACATTCAGGCTGCTTTGTGGATGTGGCACCCAAGTCCTAGTGAAAGGAATGAGAGAAAATCAGGAAGACATGATTGTTGCCTTTTATTCCAAGTCTGTGTGGGGTGATGAAGGCTTTCCAGAAAGGAGTTACCTATGCTAAACAGGATGAGTCACAGGTAGCCAAGGAAAATAGGGTGCATGTACTGAGAAGGGGGTGCAGAATAAGCTCGACGGCAGGAGCATCAGGTGCTAGGATGTGGCTATGTGGCTGAACTCAGCAATGGGGTGGAACAGAGGAAGAGCTTGAGAAA